AAAGGTCTTAAAGGGAAAGAAACAAAAGCTTGAAGATAATGGTGTGCTTCCTTTTTATATGCAGGTCAAATAAGAAAGAAAAATAATATAAAAAAGAGAAATCTAACTCAGTAACCATTTTGCTATGTTTTATCCTATTTTGTTTCTCAGGTACCAGTAGATTGTGTTCAAAAAGACAGTTCATCAACCATTGTGGTGCTGCATCAGCCCGTCCGGCCTGCAGACTAGCTTCCCAAGAAAGAAAAGCAGATGCAGGCTGTTTGCTAACTGCTCACAACTCTTGTGCAGTTTGTAGATGCACAACGTATTAATGGGCAAAGCCTTCACTTAGGCACAAAACTCAGATAGCAAACTGAGGTAGAAGCCTTGAAGGCATCAACCTGGCTCAAACCAAGGGTTCAAAAAGTTCAAAAAGTTCTTTATTGTAATAGAAGGTGTTTTTTACAGTTATCCGTGCATGCAGACGTAACTGGGAGTATTCTTACAATAGAATCCCTTAAGCACACAATATGCCATAAATTCACACACGAAAGGTACCGGCCATAAAACAGGAAGGGGTCCTTTGAAGCAGGTAAGACGATGCATGTGTTGGTGTGCGATTATATTATACTGAAACTTGGAGAGTCAGTGTGGTGTAGTGGTTAAGGGTGATGGATTAGAAGCTGGGAGACAATGAGTTCTAGTCTTGCCAGCTGGGTGACTTTGGGCCAATCCCTCTCTCTCAACCCTAGGAAGAAGGTAAGGGCAAACCACTTCCAAAAATCTTGCCAAAAAAACTTCAGGGACTGGTCCAGGCAGTCATCAGGAGTCAACACTAACTTGAAGACATGAATGAATGAATGTAGAATTTGGTATGTGACATCAAAGCTTGCTAACTGCTATATTGTACATCGTTTCCTTATTTTACTTTCTTGGAGTACTTATGATTCTTTTTGAGAAGTTCTCACTAAAAAAGAAGTAAGACTCTTTCTGCTCTCTAATGAATTTTGTCTCATGACTTTCTTCTCTGGATGGGCACTAACTATTCCATACGTTGGAGCAAAGCTGATCAGATCCCAGATGAAGCTTCTATCCTGAAGCTTATTACCTGCTGTGGGATTTATCCATGGAATACCCTGGTTCTCAGTAATTACACAAAAGTGGGGACTGAGGAGAGGTGAATAGTTAGACTTCAACCTGACAAGTTTTTTTTTTTTATTTGTAACTTAATTAAAAACCTGTAAAAGAAAATACCACCACCCCATAAACGGAAGTCTCAAAATATTTTACACGGTCACCTACATAGCAATGAGACTTTATTGGGTATACTCTCACTCTGACTTCTTAATTTATAGCCAGGTGCAGGGACTCACTAGGAGGACTCACACCTATGTATTAGCAAGGACAATAGTTTTTCTACTTTGAAAAAGGGAAATATCGGGTGCTTCAGGCACTCTCCCCTTTAAATATATATAAACACAACTAACAAATCTAGCTTATCTTTTGGAAATCAATCCATCTGCATTCAAGGGACTAAAATTATGGTATCATTTCAGATATTTTCTTGAGTTCTCAAATAAAAGGTATTAATTCACCAATTCAAGGCTAATTTTTAACGGGTTCTAGTACTGTTTCCCACCAACTAGGTTATCACATAATGGAATCCAAAAATCTGAAGACTACATTGAAATCTATTAAAAACTAAAGTGGTTTATGACAGGGCCTGTGAGAATGGTACACCAGATTGTGTTCCCAACTCCACCACTGTTTTGCTGATGACCTTAAAGAGTCATCACTCTGTTTTGTTGTTTACCCAGCTGTAAAATCAGTATAATAATAACATTTGCCAGCCCCACAGGGGTGATGCAAGTCCAAATTAAGGCTACAGAATTGTTCTGATGACCTCTGATGAAAACGGTGGCATTTTTTTTCCAGCAAGATGCCCATCTCTGTTAATTCAGGACTCATAAACTGGAAAAAAAAATGCTACAGAGACCTTCTGAGCTTTTATGCCAAAAGTAAGTGAAATCAGAATCTGACACATTCTAATATAAAGAAGCAGCAAAACACTAAGCCACTCAGTTCAAAAAGCCGTTTGACATTTATATAACGGTTCTCCCAATGACAGCCCACTATAGATCTTCTTCAGTGCCTGATCAACCTTCTGTCTTTTCAACCTGCTAATGAGACACACAGCTCAATTCTTTTCAGCCAAAGACAAGAACAAAATCATGGATTATATGGGGTGCTGGGCAACTTCTCTACCTCTACCATGCCTTAATGAAAAGTAAGCATCTGAGACTGCAGTCAAGATGACAGCAAGAACAGATAGGAACTGAGCATCTGTCCTGCTGTCTTGGGTTTTGATTTATAAATTACACTACCAGTTGTGTTCCGTTGCAAGAGAAAAATACAAAAGCCCCACTTGTTATTTCCTCTTCCGCTGCTATGTGGCTCAGATCCCCCAACTTCCCTGTGAGCAGCACACTAAGGCTTCAATTCAAAAATTCAAAATTCAAAAAACACCACCACCACCCAAGGGCTTCAGTTGATAGGGAGCTGTCCAACAAAAGCATTGCTGAAAGAAGAAAACGTTGAACCAGCACCAAGAATAGAAACCAGCTGAGTTTCTTTGTGGCTGTCCCTGCAATTCAGTCTCACCTGGGCCCTGATCCAGGACGTAAGTTGAAACTGGCTTGTTCTTCATATTTCTGGGAGCCTTGTGTGCCATTGGATCAAGGTTTCTGCTTTAATGCTAGTTTCCTCTACTCCTGCAGTCCCAAAGATGTACCAGGCCCTCAACTCTACTACTAATCACCCTGGCACTTTTACATGATGAAGACCAGTGACAGCATCCCTAATTCTCCAAGGAAGACTCATCTACTTCTGGGTAAGTCCTGGCAGGGAGGCAATGGGGAATGATGGAAAGAAAAGTAGTTTGAGGAAGCCATTTGAGAAGAAATATAGTTGGCAGATCCAGGCACTCTCTCATCACTTGGTCATTTTCCACTATTCATTATTGCCCCCAAGTTCTTGAATAGTTACACAGAAATCTATTTACCACATAAATTGGTCCCAATATAACCCAATACCTCAATAACAGAAATTGAGATGAAATTCCCTGCACTTACTAGGGGCCATGTCCATGGTTCTTATATCTGAATAAACACAAATAAGATTCTATCTATCTATCTATCTATCTATCTATCTATCTATCTATCTATCTATCTATCTATCCATCCATCCATCCATCCATCCATCCATCCATCCAATTTATATGGCCGCACAAAGTGACTCTGGGTGGCGTACAACTATTAATTAAAACAATAAATACATATAAAAATCATTATATAAAAGATTGCATGATGGAACTTCAAGTTGCTGCCTGTTGAGGTGAGATCATGAACTTTGTAGTCACCCAGCTACTACTGCTTCAAGTACTTTTCTCACTCTGTCTCCAGCCCTCTGAGAAGAATGCCTGACTGTCGATTGTAAGAATAAATGTAGCTATTCCAATAATGGTGTCTTTCTATTAAATTAATCCCCCTATATTTTGGTAACATTTAGCATCTCCTAGGTAGTTCCTAGATATATTTCTTCGCATACCTCACTCTTGCTGCTGACAGCTGCAAGGACTGTAGATACTCATGACATGATGGATGCCCTTTAGAAGGTGAAAATGCTAAATGTTAATATATATATGGCTATGAAGCATTTGCCAGGGGGATGTTTTTGCATCAGTATCCCTGTGGTGACCGGAACATCTGCTCATACTCCTCAGGCCTTGTTCTAAAATTGCAAGAGGGCAGCTGGTTAACAGTGCAGTCATTTACCTCATCTTGAGGCTTAACTGCTAAATAAACATTGAGCAACAGAACACACTCCTAAGTGAAGAACATACAGGTGAAAATAAAATATTTGGCATGTCCCTCATCCAAAGATTTTAGAGCCTTTTAGAGAAACAGCAGTCAACTGTTCTATTCAAGCAACCTTGGTGCTAATATGATGGGAGATTGATATATTTTGTCATGTGGTTGGGGAGATTTGTTTCAAAATATAAGAATTAGATATTTCTAAGGGATTTGAACAATGCAGGATTAAGCAATGGAAAATATGGTGGGCAAGAGATGGCAGGATTTTTTATGTTGGTCAGGGAATCCTGGAGTTGCAGTCCCAACAGAACTGCAGGTTGGGAAGACTGAAACTCACAACTGTATCATCAAAGATTCAAGAAGAAGCAGAGATTCTACATTCTGAAGCCAGTTCTCATTCTGTGTGTTTTTATCCTCTTCAGGTCTCCTGCCCTTCTTGTATGGAATTCGGAGTAGCCTGTGTTGAGTTTTTCTTGTTTTATCTTCACAACTATCTGTCCAGTAGCTGAAGCCCCAAAGAAGTTCCATGGACAAATGAAAAACAACCCCTCTATTTCCTTTACAAGTGAAGCATGGTCTCCATATGGAGAAAGATTTTTGTGTTTATGCTAACAACCTTCCTTTGGGGTACATTCCCATGGGACATACACCTGATTATAATACTCTTTTTGACACCAGATTAAAGCCTTTTATTCGCTTTAATATCTTGCAGTTAAACTGGATGAAAAAGCTTTTACGCTTCTCAGTTTCACTGTACTGATGTTTTGCTTCTCCTGATCCATGGAATATTTCATTTTTCTATGTGTCACCCTGGAATCCCTTTTGTTTTTGTTTTTTAGGAAGACATAACCTGTGCTTTTTTTAAAAAAGAAAATAAATTAAATAAAGGTTTCTAGCTCAACTCTTAGCTACATTTTACTTATAAAGCCCAAAGGGATACTTGTGCTTCATAATATTGGAAAGACATTGCCAGCTGGAACAGTTGTGGCATAACTATGCTCACTGGATAAAAGGCTTGACTCATAGAATCAGAATCTCTTTATAAAATTTTGCTCAGCTGAAAAATACAATGAAACACCACAGGCAAGAGCAGTGCCTGAAACAGAAATGGTGTAAGAAGTTATTTTTATATGTGATTGCAAGACTCACCACTTATCCATTTAGCCTCTGGGTCATGAATTTTGAAATCTTCACTGAACAGATCTTCCACTGTAATTTTCTTCTTCTGAGACTGACTATTATCTTCAACTGTAAATCAGGAGGGGGGAAAACAGACATTATTATTAATCTGCAATTTACCTACCCATTCAGCAAATGAGACAAGTTATCCATTCTCCTTTTGAACTGGCAATGTCTGTTGTACATAGATGTACATGGGATTTGTTAGAGCTCTTGACTGCATTACCATTGATCTAATTAGCTGAGATCCTTTCCATGTGCTGCTTTGGATGTATGAAGAAAATTTGGGATAACAGTTACTAGCACAATATAAAAGGCTCAACTAAGATGTCAGTGAAAGTGTTTTTCCACCAAACGAACACAAGAGAACTTTACAACAATCCTTGTGAAACAGTGGTGGCAATAGGGCAGAATGAATTTAAGTCAAGGGGCATTTGTGAAACTACAAAAAAAATTCAATAATTTTGCACCATCTTATACAACTATTTTGCACAAAACACATTTCACTTTTCATGGATCAGATTCCAAGTAGTCTTAAAGCAATGATAAGAAAAGACTAAAGTCTAGCTCTAGGATGTTTTGATAGACCTAAAGGCCACAATATAGAAATGGTCATATTGAAAGCCAGAGGTTTCTTCTTCCTTAGGTACATATTTTATGATTAAAAATGGATTAGCCATAACTATGGCAATGTTCATTTTTATGTGAACACCATGCAATATGATTTTGCTGACAAAGGTACTCCATTTCACTCTCAACTCTTCATGGCAGGGACTATGGGTAGAGAATGGATTGACCCTTGCAATGTTAGTTGGGAGTGTACAGGAGTTGTCTAGCAGATCCTCTATGACTTGTGAGCTACAGCTGTGCTCTACCTCTCACCTCCAGGAGATGACACACAGCCCTGAAGAACCACCTCCTCCAACAGAAAACAACCTGTCCAGTGAGGTCTTCATGGGAAGAACTCTTAATGAGTCTGCATGTTTGTGAACTCAGTGGAGTCAGAAGCCAGGAAATAATGATTTAAAGCTTACAGAACAGTCCCCCTTAGAACATCAGTGGCCTTCCAGAAAGTGGTGAAACCAGGGGTGTCTGCTGCAATGGTCACTGGCTTGCCAAGGGCAGGCACAACCAGGCATCAAAGCCTTTAATCACTGGGTTGCGCCTGCCATTCTGAGGCCAGTGATTGTCGCTACAGGTGTTTGGTAAAGACCCAGCTGTTATAGAGGACCTTTGAGAATGGAATTTCATCTTGTACATAGCTGATGTGCAGTCATGAGGATTAGGTGAGGGGCTGTTTATAGAATATTAATACTGCTGGTTAATAGTTGTATCAGAGTTTTATTGTGGATTTTAATTGTTAGCATGGGTCATCCTTAATGTGTGTTATTGACTGTAGATACTTCACTTCCACTTACCCTACCATGGACTTCATTTTAAGTTCTATTGGGAATATTTACGTTTTAAGTTTTACTGTGGATATTTTAACTGTGATTCAGTAAGCTGCCCTGTGTCTGGTTGGATCTGGTGGCATAAAAATCCAATGGAACAAACAAACAAATATTTTGTGCACTTTTAAAAACATCCATTAGATCTTTCTTGAAAAACAAAGCAAACCTTCTGTAGTTTCAAATCAACCGCATGTTGGATGTAATAGAGTGAATGTAGACAGTTTAGGGGCAGCAAGGCCTAATGGCTTTAAATGTTCAGTCTAATATGGTTAATAGCTTTTTTCTTCCTTGTCCTTCCTTCAGTTTCTCTTCCTTCCTGTTTTCTATCATATCATCCTGAACAAGGGTTCTGGAGAATTACAAAGCCTCCACACCGTCTCCCATTTATTTCACTGATCACAATAAAGCAGTGTTTCTCAACCTCAGCAGCTTTAAGATGCATGGAGTTAAACTCCCAGAATTCCCCAAACATGCTGGCTGGGGAATTCTGGGAGTTGAAGTCTATACATTGTAAAATTGCTAAGTTGAGAAACACTGCAGGAAAGGAATGGCCCAGTTCTAATTTAGAATGGATTTTGGTTTTGGTTTTCCTACAGACCAATACAATAAATACGTATAAGAATTTATAGTCATAGACCAAAAAAAAAAAAAGGAAAGGAAAGGAAAGGAAAGGAAAGGAAAGGAAAGGAAAGGAAAGGAAAGGAAAGGAAAGGAAGCTGAAATACAAACTACCTGGGATAAAATAATCTATTCACAGCAGGAGCTAAGCATATCTATATTGTGTTCAGACCCAACTGTTTCTGATTGCCATTCCTATGGCACAGAATTTAGCTACATTCCTAGAAGAGACTTCGCAATTTTGGTCATTTCACTGGAAATACATAATTGCTTGCTGGGATCAGTCTTGGTGTTTTGCGATTAGGGGAGAGATTAACTCTGTCCTCTGCAGATGACAGGAGGGACATTTCAAAAGTAATGTCCTGCTTCAGGTTTCAACCACACACCCTCACACACGGTGGCTTATGGAGTCTAGCAATTTTACTCCAAGGCTGAAGAGCTAACAGCCAACAAAGGAATGTCAACAAAACTGAGACTTGCCTGAAGAGCTTGCTTTCTCAAAAGGAGTCCACAAAAGAGTAGTCCCAACATAAATCCAGGGTTCCAAGAGCTAGGTCAGGGTTGTCAGACAGTCCAGAGGTTCAAGGTTTCAAACACGAACAGGATTTGCAGGAACGTTACATAAGAGCCGGAGGTCAGATATTGTTTCATAAGTTGCTTCCGACAAAGAGAGTCAATGGAGAAGCTGGCAGTAAAATGGCAAGTTGCAGTCACCTGATGTCTCGCTTAACAACCGCAGATGATTTGCTTAATGACCGTGGTGGAAGTGAGGTTGTAAGTCCATCGTGGTCATGGGATGTTTCGCATAGCGACCACATCACTTAGCAATGGAGTTGCTGGTCTCAATTGTGGTTGCTAAGTGAGGACTACCTGGGTTTGTGAATAGTGAAAGGTGGGTCTTACAGTTTGTTTTGGCAGATGCGTGAGGTGCTAGTCTATTCCTTGGCACATTGAGGTCAAAGAATCTCTGCTCAACCTCACTCTAGGCTATGTGTAAGCCCAGTGTAAATAGATATTGGGGAGAGAGCCAACAATGGACCAGATCAGATGTTATTTGCTTCTTCCATGGAGAATTACATCAGTCTATCAATCCAAGCCTGTAATGGACTATAAGAGTAACCTTGGGGAACTGGAGGACGAGCCACAGCCAAGACAACTGTCAGACAAAAGAAACTTGAGCCTGAGGCAGAAATGTAATTTGCGAAAGTGTCTCAGGCTTGACCCTCCCTAGTTCTCTTGAAGATAAAGGCAGGGAGGAGGGAAGGGCATTCAGACTTGCAAGATTCTGTTACTGTAACCTTATGATAAGGGTAGTATTAGCATTCATAACTTTGGTTTCCTAGTCTGGCGTGCCTCAAAGGGCTGACAAAACCCTTCGGACTAGGGACTCACCTCCATGGATTCCTTTGAGTCAAACTAGCAAAGCTTTAGATCAGCCCATCTATGCTGATTGTTTTTATCCCTCCCAAAAACATGCATTCCAATGGGTTCCACTATCAGTCCACAGCCAAGAAAGCACCAGCTTTTGATTTTACCTGGAAAGTGAGATCTGCTTGTAATTTACTTTTATATACTGTATATCTGCTTTTCTTTTTCCCTTCCTCCTCATACCTCCTTATCCCTTTGTTTTTCTCCTCCTTGCTAAGGTCACCAAAAGCCTTAGCAAACTTCTGGTCACTGGTCTGTTTGGACTCAGTAGCCTGGTATGCACCTCCTCCCTCTCGCTCATCCACTGTCTGTGTTCTTCTTCCATCCCCATCCTAGAATGAGATATTCCCCTTAAATGACCCAGTTGTGGGTCAGCCCTCTATCTGAAGGCCAATATTAAAGATAACACCCAAACCTAAATGCACTTCTATGCACGGGAGCTTCATTGGAACTAATGGGACCGTTTCCAACTCGTATTTGAAACCAGGATTCTTGTATCAAATGATCGGAGGAGTCCTGTGGCACTGAATCTCTCCCATTGTTTATGCTAACTAGTTATGCAGGCAAAACACATCCCTATTTAAAGATGCCATAAACAGTTTCTGTTGAGCCAATTAATGGAGGGGAAAATGGCTTTTTACTTCAGTAGTCCCAAAGTACTTCAGCCACTTAAGATTCAGCCATGAAGCATGCTTTATTTCATTAACAGGCACACAAACTTCCACTTGTACTACATGCTAATGGCTTAGTTCTAAGAGCAACTGCCAGCACACCAACCCTTACAAGGGAAAGTAAGGACTATGCAAATCAAAGCAGGACATCACAACCAGTACGAAAGGGCTATGTGAGTTAACGCACAGCATCACACCATCAAGAGATTTTTTGGGGGGGACCTATGCAAATGAAAGCATGATATCAGAGCAGCTACAAATGGGCTATGCCAATGAAGGCATGACGTCAGAGCGCCAAGAGATTTTGCACACCTATCAGATGAGGCAGGAAGATCTCTACTCAAATTTCTTGGCTCATTTGCAACAGCTGACAGGTGAGAAATGAATGAATTACAAACCCGCAGACAGGATCCTGTAGTGTTTCTTTCCAATGATGTGCTACCTCATTAAATCATCTTCCGTGGAAGGCCAGGACTGCTCTTAAAAGTTCCAAACTCTAAGTTACTCTCTGAAGTGCTGGTTTCAAAACAGGATTTTTGCAGGGGACAGTTTTGAACCCATTTCATTCTAGATGGCAAGTTCTGGCAGGTTGTCACAGACCTGAACTAACAGATCTGTTAAAATCTGAAGCTAAGTCAGTCCCAGAAGGCCTTTGGTACAGATGGCACAATAATTAAACCTGTTCAAGAAATGCCTGAACTAATCCATAACACAAATTAATTCAGCCTGACATAGCTACAAGTTTCATCAAGAAGGTACACAGGATTCTCCCTCTCTAAATATGACTGTGGTCATGTCTCAATGAGGTCAGCTGAAGGCTTAATGTCTGCACTTGAACAATCTTCAAAGCTTGGTTAGTATTTATTTTGGCTCATTCTTTGAGTCTTAGCGTTTTCTGAGAACCCAGCCTGAGTGGACAACGTATACAATGTATAGTGCGAATCCAGAAAACGGGTTAAATCAATCACTAGGTTTAAATGTATGGTGTGAGCACAGCCTATAATTTCTTAAAGCATTCTACATTCCCCCTCCCCACTAACCCAGAATAAATGCAATAAAATGCTGCGTTAGGAAAGTATTCCTAGCAATTTTCTCAAGGCTACTTGATCTGTGGTTATGGCATCTCTTACTTTTTTTTTTTAATCATCTTTTCATCTTTCAGTACTGCTGGAGATCTCAGATCCTTGTCTGAGTGGAGAAAGAGGGTGATCTGGCAGAGCTCTGGTATGGTCTTGAAGGAGTCCAGCCCTAGGTATCCACAGCCTGTCAGCTCACAGCTGGATTGCTACTGGAAGGATGAGTGAGGATCCAGAGCACACTCATTCGGGGTTTCAGTTTGATCATGAAGGATTCAGCTCTGGGTGTCCATGGTATATGTCTCTGGGGTTGAATCACTTCCAGGTGGGGCAGGGGGAGGGCCTGGAGCATGATTTTGTATGGGTCCAGTGTAGTCTTGCAGGGATCCAGACCTAATAAATGTAGCATGCACTCCAGGGCTTGAGTGTACTTGGAGTTCACTGCCACGCAGGGATCCAGACCTAATAAATGTAGCATGCACTCCAGGGCTTGAGTGTACTTGGAGTTCACTGCCACGCAGGGATCCAGACCTAATAAATGTAGCATGCACTCCAGGGCTTGAGTGTACTTGGAGTTCACTGCCACTCTGCCTGGACAGGTCAGCAGGAATGTGGAGATTTTCTGCCGTTGCTGCTCCAGATAGCAAATGTCAATCCAGAGTGAGTATGGGATGGGGTCTCAAAGGTAGTACCAGATTTCAGATATCCTTCTCATTGAGTTGTTCAGTTTTCAATTTGGTTCTCTTCTTGTTTGTCTCCAACCCTGTGAGGTGGCTGGGTTTTCTCTTTGTGTTTTTTGGCAAGTAAACTCAAATGCTGTTATTGAGCTTGCTGGGTGTGTTTATTTCTTCCCATCCTTAGCTCCAATGAAATTATTGGTTTTGCTTGAGGAGAGCATCACATGGTTCATTTATCATTTTGAGAGGTTGCAGCACTGCAGAGTTTGAGAATCCCTGTATAAATGAACAGTCTTCACCAAATATAAGGTAAGATCTTCCAGGAATCACCCCACAGACCACAACGTAGTGGCAGATCACCTGCTTTAGTGGAGAAGGTCCAATGTCCAATTCCTGCCTTTTCCAGTTGGAAAGATCAGATAATAGCTCCTGCAAAAAAACTTCTATGGTAGAACCTAAGAAATCATCCCCAGTCGGACTAAATGCACAGATGGTTTGACTAAGTGGAAGGCAACTTCCTTCGCCACCCTAAACATGTCAACCATGTTTTGTCCTTCATTGTTTTAGGTTGGCTAATCCAACTGAATATAGGGGAAGATCAGTTGCTATATCATTTGACCAGCTCTTTTCATATACCAAAATGTAGGACATGGATACCTATGACTTTTTAATAGATGCATGTATATTCTTCAAATTATTTTTAAAAGAAAACCCAAACACAACCTTTCTCTCAAGATTAACAGGACTCAAAAGAACAGGAAAGAGATTTTCACCATATGATTGATCTCTCAACCAAACGGAATATAATCAGGCCTCTGCCTTTTTAAAATGCATTTCCGAAGACTTGAAATTACAACAGCAGCAGCAGCAGCAACAAAAGCTAAAGGTTATATAAATACCTGGTGTCAGCAAGATAACGGAAGTGACAATCAAGGAGCAGATAACCAGAATAACAAGTAGAGCAATTGCAATTCCCTTCCAGTTCCGTTGTGGTGGATTGCTCCCCACCAGCTCCTACAACAGCAAAAGGAGAAGAAACAGTCAGCAACAGGAAGTGCAACAGCTGAATCCAAAGAGCAGCAATAACGTCAATCATTTTAATAGCCATAATTATTAAATCACCTACAGTCTGAAAAGCCACAGCTTCCACAGGCTTGTATGTTATGGATGCATCTTAAGTAAATAGGGATAACTTTGCTTAAATTAATTGGCTGGAGTTTATTGTAAGGAGAGGGCTAAGACCTGCTCTATTGCTTGGCAGAATGAAACATGAGTTGCATGCAGCAAATTATTGTGTTGAGAAAGGAGACAAATGTTAATTATTTCTGTATTTTTATTGCTTGTGAGGGGAGAGATGCACGTAGATTCTTCTGCATCAGATTCCAAAAGATCTTTCTGGTCACTGGGAAAGGCTCTTTGCCAGGGGTGGGGGGTGGGGGTAGAGGGGAGATAATTTGCTATCCTTCTGGAAGCAGAAGACTATCTTGTGTTGGATCTGCCTA